TACTTAAACGTACAGAATGAACAATACGAACATCAGCAATGCAAATCATGATTCATTTCAGATAATGTCCAAGCATTACAAGGTTTACAGTCTATAAATGCGGAATTAAAAGGAGAAAATAGAAAAAGGAAAAGATTACACTAACTCTAACTCTATTCCTAAAAAGAGAAAAGGAAAGTGGCCAAGAAATGATCATACCCAAAGATGATTCCTCGCATGGAAGCCATATGTGCAGGCAGAGAATGCTTTAGAATTTGTTTAAAGTATGAGTTTTCCGACCTTTGTTAAGGTGCGTAGTACTTGTATTTATAGAATTAATTAGGGGCAGTTAATTTCATGCACGTACATCATTAGGGGATAACCGCTGCCCACTATGCTCACCACGTGGTTTTAACTTGTAACTTCTCATAACCGCTTATCTCACGTAAATTAACTTCTCGACCCAGTCGTTAACTCTCCTTGTATGACCGTAAGTACTTTGCACCATGTTACTATTTTTCGAGCACATCGAATGTCCCATTTCAAACAATTACCCATTCGTTCATTGGTAGACGCGTGCCTTTATAATCTCTTTCGAGGAATCTTGCAAATATTTCGACTCGTTCGTCTTCGAGTTGCCCCAACAATATCCTAATGTTCCTGAATACTTTATTGACTATAAACGTTGTCTTTTTCGGAGAACAATTTCTTTTATGAGAAAAAATTAAAAAAGAAAGTATGAGATTATTGGCATTTACTCCTTTTGACTCTTGAATAATAATATTGTGAATTGATTTTACTGACATTTCTTTATTGGCTATAAATGTTCCTTATTACTTAATAAAATATTGGTAATTATTTTATTGTCGTTAAACATTGAATCTGGTGAGTTAACAAACTGTCGACAAGTAAATTCAAGTGTTCTAAACTTATGCTACTAAATTCTACCCTCTAAAAGTGTTCCTTATATGCATGTGTCTATTATAAACTTGCAAATATCAAATTCTACCCTCTAAAAGTAACATTATAAGAAGGACAACTTCCAGAAGCATACTAAATTATTTATGCTTCCAGAAGGTCAAAGTGTAGTAACATATCGCACTGAATATGATCAAAGGTAGGCAAGATTAATGGCTACATATGAAGAATTGTTCAGATGATGCAAACAGAGCAAGGATTTTAAATGACAAATTTCTAATGTGATATTTGTTATATATGATTTACTTTTGTAAACATATTATGACAAATATTTTGAATTTCTTACGCTTTTGAACATTTGCTTAAAGTTAATTAATTTTCATAAATTTACAAATAAATAGTTTTAGTTGAAATAAAGAGTTTAATTTAAATTTTTTTTTTCTAAGTTTTGGTAAGTTTTCAGTTATAGGAGAGGAAGATTTAGAAAGCTCATGACGGACGAGAGCCAATTTTGAAGAGCAATTCTCTTAATTGAATCAATTGGATGTTTAAGTGATACCAAAGACACCTGTTTTGTATATCAATAAGCCTCGGCTTAAGCTAGATGTTAAACGCTTAAGTAGGGATGGCAATGGGCCTCATAGGGGCCGGTAATAGTAAACTCGTCCTCACCCTGCTAGATGAAAATTGACCTCATATCCATCCTATACCCGCGCGAGTATCCGTTAAGTGGGTATCCATGAATTTCTTGAATATTCGTGGATATCCATAGATATTTATAAATTTTTTAAGAAATTAAAAAAATTAATTACAAATAATTTTAAGTTTATATTTAATGTCATTGAAATATTAAAATTAAAAATTTAATATTAATTTTGAACTTGTAATTAACGTTATTTTTGTTGAAATAATAATAAAAAAGCAAGAGAATCAATAACTTAAAATACATCAATCTCACAAGTAAGTGAAAGTCTTATATCACAAACTTACAACAATTCAATTAGATGAGAGAGTGTGGGCTGTGCGGCTATGAAAAAAAATAAGATGAGAGAGTGTAGTTTTAAGGTTATGTGGTACAAAGATAATTAGGATATTTAAGAAATGTTATTAAATGGGTACCTGCAAGTATGAATATCATCATACCCGCCCCCGCCCCGTTTATAAACGGGTAAAAAATTATTCATCCCTATTATCTGCGAGTACTCAATTAGCCTACTCATTTATTATTCGTAGTGAATTTTATCTACAAATACTCATGAGTACGGGTATTTTTGTCATCCTTACGCTTTAAGTATGGTTGTCATACATTTGTGGGAAAGAGAGAGAAAACAAAAGAAAGAGAAAATGTACATTTGTTTCAGATTTCATTGCATGTTACAAAATAAATTGAAATAAGGGTGAATTAGAATAAATTTGTCGCTTTTGTCGCTACTCTGAACAACTTGGGATACAATATACATGCAGTTGCTTTATGACTTTGAGAAGAGAGAAGAATTGATTGCTTTAAACTAATCTCTCCTATATGTCCCCTTTTGGTGTTTTTTTGTAATTTAACTAAGTTACGGAGAATAATGATTTTTTTTCAAGAAAAAAAGTCATTATTCTCCGTAGCTTAATTACATTACAAGCCAATAAAAGTCTTTAATTAATAATGCAATTTGTTGTGCGGTGAAATAAAAAGTTGACACGAGTTAGTGTGTGCCTTAAGAGATAACTTATTTGGATATATACTTGTGTGTTTTAGTGAAATGCTTCCTGTGAGGTACAAATGTCATATGGTTACTTAATGACTTGTCTTTATGGAAATATTTTCATTTTTTACACTATAAACTTGATTGCATAAGTGCGTATCTAGTTGTTGGAATCACGTAATCTTGAGTTTTGAAGTGAAACCATGCACAGTGGTGTATTGAATGTGATTGATCTCAATCCAATCTTTCTTTTATGTGCTTATTGCTTTTGATTTTTTTTAGTTTTGGCTTACTCTTTCTCAAGGATAATTATTATATGATTTACTTTAATAAATATTTTACGACAATTTTTTTTTTATGCTTTTGGACCTTTGCTTGAAGTTAATTTTCATAATTTACAAATAAATAGTTATAGTCGAAATGAAGAGTTTAATTTAATTTTTAGCTATGTTGTTAGTTGAAGAGAAAAAGATTCAAAAAGTTCAAAATAGAGGAGCTAGTTTTGAAGAGTAACTCTCATTTAAACAAATCAATTTGGTTGCTTAAACAAGATTAGAAAGACCTGTTAGACATGCTACGCATACAAGTGCGTCAAACACAAGAAGAACAAGTCGATTTAAAAGATGAACGATTGACTAGAGCACATGATCCGTTATGTTGGGATTGATTTTTTTTAAACGTGCACATGTATATGATAGTTTGTGTAGTGATGTGAAGAAACCTTTGTATCCAAATTATGCTAATTTTACACAATTGTCCGTGGTGTTAAAATTGTTCAATTTTAAGAAAAAAATGGATGAACTAATAAAAGCTTAATAAAATTGCTTGAGTTTTTGAGTGAAATGTTTCCCAAAGGTAATATTTTGTTGACACGCAATTATGATGCGAAGAAGATATTATGTCCTATGGGTATGAAGTATAAAAAAAATACCAACAATTGCATTTTATACATAAAAGAGAGTTTCACAACTTACATAGTGTCTATAGTGTGGGGTTCTAAAGACGATCCATTCTTCATGACAGACCAAGCAAAACAAGTTTTATGTTACTAATCTTGTTAACAAAATTGTTCTACAAGAAAAAGAATGCATGGTACTCATGACCATGAAGATTCAACACTTAATATTTTTTAGACTTTTTCGTTCTCCACACGCATGCCTAGGTTGAATGTGGACAACAAGAGTGTTGATGTACATGCTACACAAGATGATGATGATGATGAAGGATTGTGAGAAAATATCTAGACTTAAAACCAGTCACATGTTTAATAAATAATGTTCATATGTATTATATTATTACTTGTTATGTGCATAATATTTGTTATTTTAATTATTATCTTGACTCATTTTTTCTTTTTACAATCCTATTACTAATAATAAATTGTATAGGTGCATGTGAGGATGATCTAGTGAAATGAACACTAATGTTTTTTTTTATCAAATCAATTAAAATGTATTTTTATGCAATTTTAATCAAATACAAATCCATAAAAATATCAATTTATTATTTTTCATTGAATTTTATTATTTTTATAGTCTAGATATGATAGAATTGAATTTGAGTGATGAGTATTATGCAAGTATCTTAGGAAATGATACCTAGTCTTACCAAGTTACTACTTAAAAGATTTGGGATGCTAACAAATCTTAACATAGTGCTTCAACATGTTTCGGAAGGAAGAAACTAACCACCTCTTGTTTGACAATATTGATGCAATTAAGATAAAGAAATTGAGAGAAGAATATTGGTTCAAACTCATAACAAATTGCTCAAAAGCATAATGTAAGAATTAATATTCTTGAGGAAAATTAGTTCAAACCACAAAAACTAATTTAACCTAAGAATTATTTTGAAAATTGTAAGTTGACAAGAGGAATGCTTTTTGAAAAACAGAAATTGAAAATAAATAGAAGTTACAAGCTGAATTTTTAATTTAATTATTAACAACTATTTCTAGTGGGATATATATAGAATGTTGACCTTAAAATTAAGCTAATTAACTTAGATTACACATTGGATGATAAACATGTGACTTCAATTATTCTTTCAATGTCTGTGAGACTTTCACGCTCATGTAAAATGGAGTGCATGTATTATTATTATTATTTTTTGAATTCTCTTTCTATTTAATCATGTTCACTTTCCTTCCTTAGAAAACCTACTTACCTTTATCACTCATTTTGTTCTATTTGTGTTTTTCATCAACAAATATAGAAAATGGAAGGAGCTCATCCATTCAACCTACTTTTGCCTAAAAACTAAAAAATAATGAGCGAAAGAGGAGGCTACGTACGTACCCACTATAGTAATAATATTACTATATTTACTTATGCTCGTTATGGTTTAAGTTGCACCATGCATGATACCCCTATAATAGCACATGCTTAAACTATTTAACTTCGATAAGGAGAATTTATTACCCAATATCTGAGAAAATTTTTTTGAACCGGAATATCTAACAATATTAAAAATGAAGTTCTCAAATCTTGTGTTGATCTTCATCGTTTTCTCCATGTGTAACATTTCCTTGGCCCAAAATTCTCCGAAGGATTACCTCGACGCGCACAACAAGGCTCGCGCGGAGGTTGGTGTTCCACCACTAAAATGGAACAAAACCCTTGAAGCATATGCTCAGAAGTATGCAGATTCAAAGATCAAAACTTGCGAAATGGAGCACTCTTACGGGCCCTATGGGGAGAACCTAGCTGAGGGTTATGGCGAATTATTGGGTACGGATGCAGTGAAAATGTGGGTTTCAGAGAAGCCATTTTATGATGTTAAATCCAACAAATGTGTCAAGGACGAGTGCTTGCATTATACTCAGGTCGTTGCAAGAAAAAGCACTCATCTTGGATGTGCTAGGTCTAAGTGTGACAATGGGTGGATTTTTGTCATTTGCAGCTATGACCCAGTAGGCAATATTGTAGGCCAACGACCTTTCTAGTTTCAAGTTTAAAATTATTATTATTGTTATTATTATTATTTGTTTTTATGCTTGGTTTTGTATATATTTCATGTGGTCTGAAAGAGCACCAGATATGCCAATAATCTACTCTTGTATTGATAATATTTGTTTAAATTGTGGTGATTTTTAAACACCCAAATAAATAAAACATTTGGTTAACACTTCTAATTTCTCTATATCCTCCTTTTCTTTACACACATACCATCAATAAATTATTTGCAAAATGGATGATCACAAAAGCTAGACTTGTTTTTATTTGATTTGTTTGTGCAAAACAAGTATATATTTAATCTAGGTAAATTTTTAAAATATAAAAAATGTTTAAAATTAAAAGTGAGATATAATTATTAGTTGAAATAAATAAGAAAAAATTTGTAACTAACCCAAAGCTAGAATAAAAGCATAATTTTTAAAATTTTAGAAGATTAATGTGAAATTATAAATAATTAATATTGGAGAAAATTTTAACAAAATCATGAACATAAAAAAAAATGGAAATAATTGTTAAGGTCAAATCTCTTTGAGATGATGTTGTAAACTTTTAATGACAATAAAATGTCAAAAGGAAATTTCTAGTGTTCTAACTTATTCTACTAATTATGTACCTTGAAAATGTGATTAAAATACATGTTTTGTCAATATACGATTTACTTTTGTAAGCAGATTATGACAATTACTTTAAATTTCTTATTCTTTCGAACATTTTTTACAAGTTAATTTTCATAAATTTAGAAATAAATAGTTTTAGTTGAAATAAAGGGTTTAATTTAATTTTTCTACATTATGATTAAGATTTCAGTTAAATGCGAAAGAGATTTAGAAAGCTCATCGTGATGGAGGAGCCAATTTTTAAAAGCAACACTCGCTTAAGCAAACCAATTTGGACGTTTTAGTGAGATCAAAGATACTTGTTTTATATCAATAAGCCCTTGCTTAAGCTCAATATTCAATGCTTCAACGACTACAGATCAAAGATACTTGTTTTATATTAATTTTTAGGGATTTCCCTTTCCTCTCATTCTGAATTTTAAAAAGAAATAAAACTTGAAGACCTGTGCAGATCTCAAAGTGTTTACAATATCATGGTGGGTCACTTTGAAAATCTATTGTCCTCGATAACTTATAGGATGATGTTATTAGAAGCAAATTAATGAATTCAAAATGTTGATACATACATATGGCTTTTTAACTTTGGAGGGGTAATTTTATTCAAAATTTTTTGAAATGCTTGTGAAATTAATACGATTTTTACTATAAATTTTTTAAGCAACGGTAGTGTTTAAAAACACTAAATGCGTGATTTTAATATTTTAAAATAATGGCAAAGTTGTACTTGTCATGACCTCAAAGATCAAACCTCAGAAGTATGCAAACTCAAAGATCAAAACTTGTGAAATGGAGCACTCTTACGAGCTCTCTACCCTCTAAAAGTTCCTTAAATGCATGTGTCTATTATAAACTTGCAAATATCAAATTCTACCCTCTAAATAGGCTACAATTAAGGTAACATTTATAATAAAAGATTATGCAGATATTATGCATATATTCTTTCCGTGATCTAACACACCCCCGCAGTCGAAGTGGGAGGTTGTCGTACGCTGAGACTGTCTCGAAAATCATCAAAGAGTATGCGCAGAAGTCCTTTAGTAAAGATGTCGGCAATCTGATAACGGGACGGAACATGAAGAACATGAACTTGTCCACGAGCAACTTTCTCACGTACGAAGTGGATGTCCATATCAATATGTTTAGTGTGTTGATGTTGAATAGGATTGCCTGAGAGATATATCGCACTAACATTATCACAGTAAACTAATGTAGCTTTGTCGATCAGACAATGTAGTTCCAAGAGGAGGTTCCGGATCCAACAGGACTCATAGACATCGTTAGCGACCCCTCTGTACTCGGCTTCAGCACTAGACCGAGACAAGGTAGGTTGACGTTTAGAGGACCAAGATATCAAGTTGTCTCCAAGAAAAACACAGTATCCAGAGGTGGAGCGTCTTGTATCAGGGCATCCACCCCAATCAACATCAGTGTAAGAGATGAGACTAGAGATTGCAGACTTGTAAAGATGTAAACCATAGTCAAGAGTGCCTTGAATGTATCGCAAAATGCGTTTAAGTGCATTCATATGTTCATCCTTCGGGTCATGCATATGTAAACAAACTTGTTGCACAACATAGGATATATCTGGTCTCGTGAATGTAAGATATTGCAATGCTCCCGCTAAACTGCGATAATGTTTAGCATCTTCGTAGGGAGATCCTGAAGAGATACTCAGTTTAGCCTTAGTGTCCACCGGTGTAGTTGCAGGTTTACAAGAGGTCATGCCAGCTCGTTCAATAATCTCTTCTGCATATTTTCGTTGACTAAGAAATAAACCACCGACATGTTGTGTAACTGCAATGCCCAAGAAGTAGCTTAAAGGGTCCAAATCCTTCATAGAAAATTCAGAAGCAAGGTGTGACATGATAGAGCGACGAAGAGCATTAGTTGATGCGGTGAGAATGATGTCATCAACATAAAGAAGAATGTATGCCATGTCATTTCCTTGTCGATAAATAAATAGAGAATGATCAGATTTTCTATGTGAGAAGCCAATAGTGGAGACAAAATCAACAAACCGTTGATACCAAGCACGAGGGGGCTGTTTGAGGCCATAGAGAGATTTCTTCAATAGGCACACATACTCTGGATGGACAGAATCTCGAAAGCCCATCGATTGGTACATGTAAACAGTTTCATTAAGTTGACCATGTAGGAATGCATTTTTAACATCAAGTTGGTGAATGGGCCAAGATTTGGACAGAGATATACTGAGAACAGTCTGAATAGTAGCTGGTTTCACCACGGGACTAAATGTTTCATTACAATCCACGCCAACTTGTTGAGACCTTCCATCACCAACAAGACGAGCTTTGTACCTCTCAAAAGAACCATCAGATTTAGTTTTATGACGAAAAATCCATATTGGACGAATAATATTAACACCAGTGGGACGGGGTACCAACTCCCAAGTCTTGTTTTTAATAAGAGCATCAAATTCATCTATCATGGCTGCTTTCCAATTCGGATCGAACCAAGCCACTTTTGGGTTACGGGGAAGGGGGGATGGTGTAACCGATGACATCAAATTGAATTGACGTTTGGGCTTAAAGATCCCGTTCATGCTACGAGTTGCCATGGATCGGGATGGGGCTAGGTTGGTTTGGTGCTGCTGTGGGTTAGGTGAGGGGGTTGACGATCTTGCTTTGGATGGTGGGTTGAGGCATGTTGTGGTATTGTTGAATATAGGTGGAGATGTGGACAGAGAAGTAGGGTGTGAGTTTGACCTAAATGAAAGAGAGGGTTGAGGGGAGGTGGTTTTTGGACTGGGGCTTGGGGGAGCCGATGGGGGAGGTTGGGCTACAATGGGTTCTGGTTCTTGCTAACTTTGAAGTTGATGGTACAGAAGAGGATGTAGACCTTCACTCAAAAAATTGTAGGTATCGAAAGACGGAATATGCAGCTCGGCAAAGGGGAATTTGTATTCATCAAAGATGACGTGTCTAGAGATAATGATTTTTTGACTAGACAAATCATAACACTTATATCCTCGATGATTAAGTGGGTATCCCAAAAAAAAAATGGGGTGGAATGGGCTTGTAGCTTATTTATTGTGGTGGAGGGGAAAAGTTGATAACATAAACACCCGAAAACCCGTAAATGTGTGTAAGAGGGAACTCGATTGTAAATAAATTGAGTTGGGGGAATAATTAGAGAGTATTTTGCTAGGTAGAATGTTTAAGAGGTATGTTGCCATTTGGAGGGCATGATGCCAAAATGATGGTGGCATGGAAAAGTGAGCAAGAAGAGTTCGGATTAGGTTATTGATTGCTCGTATTTTACGTTTGGCTTTTCCATTTTGTGGAGAAGTGTGAGGGCAAGAAAAATGAAACACCATGCTGTTGTTGTAGCAAAATTTCTTAAATGAGTCGTTATCAAATTTCCTCCCATTATCACATTGAAAACATTTAACATTTGTCTCAAATTGGGTTCGAATGAGTGTATGAAAAGACAAGAAAGTGGAATGAACTTGTGATTTTCTTCCAAGTGGAAATGTCCATGAGAAATTAGTGTAATCATCCAAGAGAAGAAGATAATACTTATGGCCTGTCGAACTTAAAATTGGTGATGTCAATAATCTTATTATTCCTAAGGGAGTGTAAAACAGGTGCTCCTAGGTGTCCCAGACAATTATGCCATAAAACAGGAGAGAGAGCTGCAAAGGTGGATGAGGAGGTGGGCTAATGTCTGGTGGTGGTGGTGATAGGATATAGATCGCCGGTGCTATCACATCTCATGAGCGGGATCCCCGTCTGAAACTCCTTCACAGAAAAACCAAAAGGATCGAACTCAATAGAGACATTATTGTCAATGGTAAAACGACGCACAGATATCAAATTTTTAATGAATTTTGGGGCATGTAAAACATTGTTTAAGGTTAAAGGTGGTAAGGTGGGGAAAGGAATGTCTGTCCAAAACCACGAATTGGAATTTACTGTCCACTGCCAACAATGATATTTTTGTTAGTGCTCATATTAAAATAAGATGAGAGAGTACCTGGAGATGTAGTCATGTGCGAAGTTGCACTGGTATCCATGTACCAGTTTTCATCAGGAACATTAAGAGATAAATGGTGCATTGTCGCATCAATGTCGGTAGGTGCATAGGTCGAAGGAGGTGGCGCTTGTGCACTATATGCTTGAGGTGGATGCTTGCCGAGAATTCCAGGCTGATGAGCAGGAGGTGGACGAGCCCAAGATGAGGTGGACGAGCCCAAGATGAGGTGGGGTAAGGACAAGGTGGGGGAGCAGCCCATGCTTGTTGTCCCCAAGGCCCCCATGGTGGGTATGGTGCCCATTGAGATGGTTGCTGCCATGGACGTTGTTGCTGCCACGGACGCTGTTGTTGCTGCCATGGGCATTGTTGTTGCTGTTGTCCACCATCATGGTTGTAGTTACCACGTCCTTTTCCTTTACCCCGAGTATTATTGCAATTTTGACTGCGTTTCGGACCATTATTGTTGCGATTTGATGTATTACCAGAACCTGCAATCAAATTTCGTCCATAGGCAGAGGCATCATCGTTGGAACCATTGGTGGTGAGGAGGGCGGTGCCAACAG